GACTCTTGAGTAATACGCACCTATGGCCCCCAAATGGAACAAGCCCACAACCTTCAGCTTACTAGGCGACACTGGAAATCATCCAGCATCTGAAAGGAATCCATTGGCGTTTATGTGTTTTAAAATAAGACATTTCTCAGTAAGTTTATCATGTACATACCTACACTTTAATAATAAAATTCTCAGGATCCTATGCGGCGTAGATAAATTCAAACACTGTTTATTTTTTTTTGTAGTTCTACAAAATAATGTGAGTTCAGAGAAGTTTTTTAACCAAATGGTAAACATTCTTTTGTGAAAATCCTGAAATTAAGTGGACTTTTCATTAACATTCACTCGTTCTAAAAACAGACCTAACTTTCCTTCTTTTGATTGGCATTAGTGGTGTCTAAAGTTTTCTTAAACTACTCAGTACCACATAGCATTCATACTTATGATAATTGCATGCTACAAGTTATGATATGATCTTTTTATATTCAGTTTGATATGAGATAAGAAATTCAACAAATTATCTTCGGATTGATTGTTGAATGCCTTTCAAACATTACACTGATACAGAATTTGCTTTAAGTAAACATTTCACTTTTTCAGGAATCTTTCAATGTTTATATGGATAGTTATGTGTTCAGCAGTTGACCACACAGTTTATTAATTTCATGCAGTTTTTGTTCATTGTTCACACGGTTATCTAACACAGGTGAATAATTTTCAGTTCAATAATTTATGATGCTAAGATCGTTTTATTTTCATGCCTTACTAAATCAACATAATAATAAATTTTGATGTATCACTAACTAAATTTAGAAGTAGGAATCTGCCATGAATAAATCAATGAATGAAGTAGTCTGAGAAATATGCCAAATGGCTAAAGTGAAGATAATTTTGTAAGATTTTTTAAATTATTTGCCATCTTTACTTTATGTGAACGGACTAGTGGTTGAATTACTGTTATTATTATTGTTTCCTTTAGTTCCTAGAGGAACATAGGACTTCAGCTGCACGTCTCCATCGCATTCAGTCCTCTGCTAACGTTTTCAAATGGCTTCACGTCTACCCACATACTATAATCTCCTCTTCACATGACCTCCTCAATGTCACCCTTGCACTGACGACCAACTCGACACTTCCTATTGGGCTTTCACTTGAGCAATGGCCTGTCTTGCGATGTTACTCACTTGATGGTTTCCTCAGAGTACGGCCAATCAACGTCCATCTCTTCCTGCATATTTGTTGCACAATCGGTTCCTGATTCGTTCAGTGGTTGAATGACCATGCACATGGTCCGAGGTTCGATACCCTGCCGACGCACACCTGATATCTATGGTCGGCCTGCGAAATTCGGGCTACCGATATCCATGCTGAAAATTCCATACTTGTACCAAAAATACAGTGTGGAATCAAGCTGTAATCAAAAAATTAAAAATTAAAAAATATAATTTTTAAATGTTTTGGTGTAAATTAATTAGCGAATAAAAGTGCTGGCTGCTACACCGTTGTAGAAATGCTATTTTACTTTAATCTATTAAGTACTTCTACTTATGTAATCCCTCTGAAAATATCGGATGAAACAGATTAAACTTAAAGTAATATTAACTTGTGTCTTTGTTCAATGTTCTTGTAGTTTGAAGACGTTTCTGAATAATAAGTGGAAACAGGGTATCAAAATGGTCAATCAGCATACACGTACATAAAAGAACCAACTAATTTTCACTATCATAGATTATGGTCAAAAACAGTACAATTTACGACTACATAGACACGCTGATATTTAGATTTATGGTAAGTAAAAAGGGTTTTAGACTATTGTTTGGTAATAATTATTAATTTTAAAGCGTCATTCTGCAGGGATTTGATTGATTATAAGATCGATAATGAGATGATATTAGTCAGATAACCACTGCAAAACTATGAAGGGATTAATAACTGTTTCGTCCGACTTTGGGACTCTTCATACGTACGTGCCCTCTGGGGTTCGGACCCAGCACCTTCCCGGCCATAAGTAGATCTCGTAGACCATTCAGTCACCGTGACCTAATCCAACGGCACATGAATTCCAACTTTTAATACTTCGCTAGTCCTCTGGGGAAGTCAGATTGTGATCAAACCCGTAAACTCTCAAATCTCTGCAAAACAACATTTGAAAATTAATCAGATGCTCACTAGCGACTGGATGTATATAGAAAGTTGTCTTGATTTCTAGTCAGAAGTTGTAAACAGTGGGGTCCGCCAAATCAGGCTGAAAGATGGCTACTCACCAGTGACACTGGCTGGTAGTTACGCTATATATACTGAAAATTGGCAGAAGTTGGAATTCACAGGTCATTGAATCTTAAATGATCTACAAGTTTGGCTTGTAACCGGGATGTCTTGGGTATGTATTGATTTTTCAACGGATATCTGACTGATGTCAGTTTGCGATCAAATCAACAGTTTATACAAAAGAGAAAACAAGTTCAATAGAATTACTTCAGTAGCGATTATGCTCTGGCATTAAAATCTCTCTTATTACTGGTTATTTGTATGATCCGTTGATTTTCTCTACATTCATCAGATGTATAACATATTTTACTTTTTACTTTCATCAGGAAATGAGTGAAACCTCTGATGTAGTCTCGTCTTGGTTTGAGTAAGAATAGTTACTAAGGATCCATGCACCTAAATAACTATTTCATACAACTATAATACAGCTGTTTTCAATTTCCCCTAGTCTCAGTATCTGCTTTAAGTATTCCCTTCAAATTTAGCACTGTTAACTCAGAATTATAAAGTACAAATTATTGTTATTCCTTTGAGTTGCGAGTGGAACACAAGGCTTCAGTAGTACACCACCATTTCACCTTGTTCTCTGCAGTCTTCTCTTAGTTGGCTCTGAGACTAACCTTCTCTTTTCCATGGGTCTCCTACATGTCACCATTGGATCCAGCCCAACTTTCAATTTCTCATTCGGGTTCCACCCGACGACTTGACTAGCGATATTATTCATCGGTCTTTTCGGCGTATGTTCAATCCATCTCCATTTCCTTCGCCATACTTTTTGAGTAGATTCTGAGTTCCTGGATAATTCATTGCTAGGATTCCTCACTGATAATTTTTTTCTGGTTATTATATTTTCAGAAAAAAGTGAAGGTGGCAGCTACTCATGAAGATCTACAGTAGCCTATTGGAAACGCTTCTTGCAATTGCATTTGTCAATATTCTCAACCATATAGATTCACTGAATTGACAATAATATTGAAAATCCGTATCTTGTTTCTTACGCTTAGTATAACAGAATTTCACATCGATTTTAGATGAATGAAGGTCTGCTTTGCTTTATCGATACTGGCTTTGACATCCACATCTTTGCTACCTGTAGTTAAAACGATGTTGGCTAGATAAGTGAGAAATCTGCCTTCCCATTGATGGAGATAAGTGCTTGTTGTTATTGGTAAGATATCTTCACCACATCTGTCCATTTAATGTTCACTTTATGTCCTGGCTTAGCTGTCTCTTCTGACAACTTGTTGGTTTTGTGTGGTTTGTATGACATTAGATATAAGTCGTCCGCAAAGTCCAAATCTTCTAGGGTCTTAATGTCTACCCGATGAATGATTGTATTCCCGTTCCTCAAGGTTTGTTGCATGATCTAGTTCACTACAACCAGGAGTACCATAGGCGGTAATTGAAGGCCTTGTTCTGATTAGAAATATGTACATATAATTTTTGTATCATTTATATCAATAAGTGAATTCAAAAGAGAAAATTTCTCCGTTACATAAGAATGCTGTTAATTAGAATACAAGTATAAAAGGGTTATCGTCATTCTGAGATGGAGATCTCCCAATTCTTTTGATATCCTGAAGGCGAATGCGTACTTTATGAATTCGACCACAAAGAATACGCAATAATGTTTGAAAGCTAAGGAGAAATCATGTTTTCCTCTTTTTCAGAATCATAAAGAGGCAGAACTTTCGACTTCTAAGGAGTATTTCTGCGTCCACTTTAATGTAAGATTACAAGAGTGAATAAGTATAACCTCCATTGTGAAAATAAATTATATTCATGCTTTCTATGACCTGATAATCATAAAATTCTAAATATACTATCTTTCACATGCATAAACTATGGTCATTTGAGAACAGTTTAAAAAAAACTATTTATGTCCTTACATAATTCACTAGTTGTCTAAACAACTTCCTCATTCTTTATATATTTTTATTACTGCACAATTTTTAAGGTTTAGAAATTGCTATCTGGCTAGATAAAAATGACATTTGATTCTAGCAGTAATTTGAAATGAACAATGACTTTTTGTGTTTTTCCGAATCGCCGTACACATTAACTCATTGCTGTTCCTAGATTTGCGACGATCAACTTAATCCACGCTGTGTAATCATAATCTCTTGTAATTTGTTATAATTTTATATCATTTTTGTTTTACCCGAAGGCATGGAAAGGGTAAACTTTTCTCAGAGAACATCTGCCATTTTCTAATCTTCAAAAATTAAAAAATGCCAAGTGTACTGCAGTTGGCTATGTTTCTTTTGAGAATTCAGAATAAATTTGTTATTTCTGGCATGTTGACCGGTTAACTTCTAAGAAGTAAATTTTATAAAATAAGACAAGTAATATACGATCCTGATTGAGGCAGACTGGATAATGCAACAGACAGCAGGCCGGGCAAAGAGGAGACAGCCATAAAATGGACCTACACAAAAACTTGGGGGATTGGGACTTTGCAGATGATATATATCTTATTTCCCAGAAACTGGAAGATATGCAAATGAAAAGCAACAAGTTGGCAGAAAAATTATCTAGAGAAGATGGGACTTCAGGCGAACATGGAGAAAACAGAGGTATTAATGAAAACAAAACACGTAGATCAGCGAAGAGTCTCTTTTCGGCGAATTCATTTTCTTAGCTGTACAATCGCAAATATATATGCATTGTTTTGTATGTATGTGTACATTAAGTTTATCAAACAAAGTTACAATTGGTTAAGGTTACTTTTAACTAAACAAGTGAAGGTTGGTAATACAGGTCAAGACAATTAAGTGCTAATGAAACTAGGGTAGTAAAAAAAATGATGAGTTGTCACAAACAGTTGTAATAATAATAGTGAGTTTTACTCAGGATGCACATAGAAACAAAGTAGATAATACGAAACTATGTAAGAGATTTAAGTGAATACAAGAATTATAAGCAATTAAGGAACAGGCAAAGAAACAAAATTAAGTCATCAAAATAAAAATAAAAGCTCAAAACAAATCAAAACATTGTTACCATGAGAGTAGAAGTGGTTGAGTAATCTTCTTTTGTATGCACAGCTCCGGTTTTTCCATGTGAATGGCCAGAGCTTCAGCGATGCAAAGGAGACGAAACCGTATTGCCTTTGATATGTTATTCTTGACTCTGTAGATTACTTTGAAGGAGGCGTTCGTTGAAATGCAATGATCAGTGTTGACCAGGTGTTCAATTATCGCACTCCTTATTGCACCAGTATTGCCTTTTCGCAACCATGCTGGATAATGTTCTTGAATTCTCTTGGACAGGATGCGCGTCGAACGACCGATGTACCTGGCTCCACAGCAGCAGGTGAACTGGTATATGCACATAGAAGTGGCCAGATGCGGGATCTTGTCCTTGAGGCTTCTGCAGATCAGTGGGCGACTGGAGAACACTATTCGTAGCGTTGCTGCAAAGAACGTTCTTCTCAGAGATGATGTGATCCTTCTCTTGAGAATATCGCTTGCTAAATCTCCCTTGAAATCCAAATTCATGTAGATTTTCTTTTTAGGCGCAGTTAAAGTTTCGTTTTTCCGAATTATTGGTTTCATATTTTTGTCGATAAATCTTATTGGGTATCCATTTTGGATGAATATTTCTCTCAGAATATCTAATTCTGTTTCCAGAACGTCGGGACTACAGATGCGTCGGATGCGGGTAGCAAGTGATTTAATTAAATTTCGCTTTTGTTGAATGGGCACCCAGCTATAGAAGCTTGTTAGTTGACCATTCCACGTAGGTTTTCTATGGATTGATCTTCTTAGGCTCCCATCAGCTCTTCTTGTCAGTTCCACATCAAGAAACGGAATTTTTGACTCGTTTTCCATTTCAAGAGTGAATTTTATTGCTGGATGGCAATTGTTAAATGTCTTCAGCAGCAGATTGGGGTCGTTGTTGTTGTCACAAATAATGAAAATGTCATCCACGTATCTTTTATACAGTCGCAAATTGTCGATGCTTGGCTTTAGTGAACCTCTCTCGAGGCTTGCCACGAAGCAATCTGATAGTAGTGGACCCAACGGAGATCCCATTGCAATACCATCCTTTTGTCTGTAGATGGTGTCGTTGAATGTGAACTGGACGTTCAGAGTGCATCTCAATAATAGTTCTTTCAAGTATGTTGTCGGTATTCCAATATCGAGGTGGTTGTCATCTATATATCTGCATATGAAGCAGACCGTTTCTGTGAGTGGGACATTGGTGAAAAGTGACTCGATGTCGAAGGACAGCATAATTTTGTTAGATACATTCGTGTCTTGTATGCACTCGATGAACTGGAAGGTGTCACGGAGCGAGTACGTACATAATTGCTTCCTTACAGGTTCCAGAATATCTGCTAGCCATTGTGCAATAGAGTGGTAAGGGGAACCTGACATATCCAGAATTGGACGAAGTGGGAGACCAACCTTGTGTACCTTTGGTAGACCATAAAGTCTTGGTATTATTGAACCTGTTGGCCGGATCTGATCGTAGATATCCCCACTGATTAGTTGACTGGCCTTCATTCTCTTCAAGACATCTGTGAGCTGCTTCTCAATCTGTTCCGTCTTGTTTCTTTCATTGGTAGGTGATAAAGATTCCTGGCCAACTGCAACAGCAACAACAACAACAGACAACAATCAGCCAGCATAAATGGGAGAAATTTGAATGAAGCAACCTCCTTCACCTGCCTACCTACCTACCTGGGAAGCATTGTTCCAACTACAGGTGGACGGAACTGATGAGGATATCAAAGCGAGGAACGGTAAAGCAAAATAAGCTTTCATTTCTCTCAAGCATTAATGGAGTTCAGTAGCACTCAGCATGAAAAATAAGATCCGAATTTTCAACTACAATGTGAAGTCAGTGCTTCCCACTATACAGAACAGAGACTTGATGCCGAGCCAAGAAGGGTACTTTGAACAACCTACAGACCTTCACCAACAGCTGTGTTCGCTCAGTGCCAGAAAAGATCAGCAACAGGCATTTCTAGCAATGAGCGAACCAACACAGAAAGGACTGACTGTGCAACAAATATGCAGGAAGAAATTGAGGTGGGTTGGCCATACTCTGAGAAAACCATCAAGTGACATCACATGACAGGCCATAGCTCGAGTGGAAGCCGAATAGGGAGAGGTAAGTTGGTTGTCAGTGCGAGGATGATATGAAGGAAGTCATGTGAAGAGGAGATGAAAGCATGTGGGTAGACGTGGATCCAGGTGAAGACGTTGGCAGGGAACAGAACGCAATTGATGGAGACGTGTGGCTGAAGCTGAGTGTTCCTCTAGGAACTAAAGGTAATAATAATAAACAATAATATTATACAATGCTTTAAATACTAAAATAAACACACTTAGTCTTTGTACTAAATGAATGCGTTGAATTCTGCAGGCATATGCTTCATTTGCTGTGTAACACACTACCAGTATATCAGAAATGTTCAGACTATTGAAATGAAAATTCGGTAAACTTTTTGTTTAATTATTTTGTTTCATTAAATTTAAACATGTTTTCTTTTAGTTCCTTTATCAATAGCTTCAAAAAAGAGTTATTAATAATACTGTTACACTTGGAAAATAAGCAAATCACGCACTTCGATTCAGCTTTACCTCTTTATTCGATTTGAGTGTGAACTGTTCCTATATTGTAAATTAAAAGTTGGTCTAAACAAAGGATATTTTTGTTTCAGTAAATACTCTCTAGGTTCTTACAGCTATAAAATATAATAAATATCGTTACAATACTGGCCAGTTATTTGGTGGATGCATTTTGACGTTGAATAATAAATTAAATAGCTGACATTAGTTAGAGAACCATTGGAAAACCTAGGAGTACTGGACAGCTGTTTCGTCCTAGTTTGGGACTCTTCATCAGTACGCACCCACCGGGATTCGAACCCAGGACCTTCCGGTTACAAGGCGAGCTCGTATACCATTAAGCTCGCCTTGTAACCGGAAGGTCCTGGGTTCGAATCCCGGTGGGTGCGTACTGATGAAGAGTCCCAAACTAGGACGAAACAGCTGTCCAGTACTCCTAGGTTTTCCAATGGTTCTCTAACCAATGTCAGCTCATGATGAAATCCTGAAACCAATCAAATCCCTACAAACCATCACTTGAAATTAAATAGCATTTGTGTGACACGGAAAATGGATTGAATGCAATCGCAAAATATAATGAAATGCAAGATGATGATGGTTAGTAGTCATACTGCATTCATACAATGTAGGGAAAGAAAATTGACAAGTCATTTCAAGGTAGTAAAAGGTGTCAGGTAAGTGGCTAGTACAAAATAGTGTGCATTAAAGAGGAGATAGACAGACAGTGGTGAATAGTTCACTATGAAATAATCAATGTGTGAGATGAAAGATATGGAGTCATATATTCGGAAAAGCAATAATATCACTAATAATAAGTAAGAATCGTATAAGCTGAAAATTTGACAGTATTGAAGGAATACTAGAATGAAGGGTATAAAGAGAACAAAAGATTAGGAGACAGGAGGGAAAAGCACTCTTAGAGAGGTGAAGAAATTTCAGTCTAAGTTTGGACACAGTAGAAATAGTGCTTGGACATGTTCTTTTTGAATACAAAGTTCTGGCTTAGTCGATTTTATTGCAACAGTTTCAACTGTATGTATAATTGTCAACTGTGCGTGATAGTGACTTCATATTATGGTATTTAACCCTGAAAGCTGTCAGCGTCAATGCAATATCTTGCACTCTCCAAGTGTTATAAAATTGAACTTTGCATTTGATTTCACCATCTTTAAACCAAGTTGGCAAATATTCTCGAATTGGAAGATGAATCTGAATAATTGTATGCCTTATATAACTTGAACTACAGGGACAGCTGGAACAGTATATGCATTAGAAAGAGCTAAGATTAGGTAAGATGTCTTGCATTTTCAACTGTCCCTGTTTTCGATGAAACAAGTTCTTTCACAGTTATGCGATTACCGCAATGATGTCAACATGACGTAATAAACTGAACCTCCCGAATAGAAGACAATATTATCAGTAGATAATATCATTGTCACCCACTTGCTTTAGGTTTTGAACTTTAACAAACTCACACTTTGGGAAGACTTTTTAAGAGTGGAAACAGAAGTGATAGCATTACATACCACGAACCATACGAATAGATTAGTTGTTTTGAGTCCATTTTATTACACAAAATCCGATGTTTTTGGTAAACAGTTACCTTTGCTTTGTTGCAACATTACTGTTTTGTACCCATTCAAGTTAGACGTAAATGAAAAAACGTCAAAATCACAACTGGAAAACTGCCTTAATTTCAAACGGCTAGTGCTCAGAAAAGGACAAACTTTCACTTTACTCCACTAGTCTCGAGCACTCATCTAAATAAACACCTGAAATGAATAGTTTAATTTATATACGCCGAAAGTATGCTCATTTCGGTGAGAATAAAACTAACGAAACCTGGTATAAAGCTGTAAATACACAGTGTATCATATGGAATCTACATATTATCTAACTCACAACACCCTCTTCATTCACAACTCTCTCCTTGTATCTCATCAGGCAGGCAGACCAGAAGCCTATATAGAAAACTATATGCTCGCACTAGGAAGTACAAAAACTCAACCATACCCTACTTAGCTCGTGTTTTGTACGAAAAAGAAGGCATTAGGTGTGATACTTACAACTTATTAAGTAGTCAGTAGAACAACTGGATCTCGTCTTTCTAACTCATATCATTTATAGATACAACGTTTTCTTTTTTTCTTTTCCTTTTCTCTCTCTTTTTTCTGTTATGTGCAACTTTGTTTCTTTCTTCTGCTTACGCCAGAAAATATGCTTGCACCAACTTTTCTAGCTACCTTCAAACACGCTGTTTAATTTTGCCTAATATGTTGTTGTCAAAACTAACTGAGATTACCCTTAATCTATGTAGAATTTTATTTTATTGTTAATTTACTAAATGGATGCAATACTGTAGTAAAATGCTGAGAATTCCATTCTGTATCACAAGTACTGTTTTGGAATAAAGCTATTATCATTATTATTATTATTATTAGTGTCTGCCTTAACGGCTGGTTAGGTAAAAACAATACATTTGACATTTTCGGCTGATAATCTACTATGAAACTGCAATTTCCAGCCTTCTCCTTCTGACATTAGAGCTTAGCAAAACCACTCCGCATGCATGCTGTTACAGATGCTTGACAGCCATATTGTCTTCCAACTTAATATTGTTATATCAGCCTGTATTAAGAAATCAGCGATATTTGGAACGTAGCAATATCTCACTGATGGATTTATAAATAATACGAAACATCTCTTCTACATTCTGCGGAGAATAATTTTATAAACATTAGCGAAGATTCGTATAAGTGAAAGTTGCGCCAGTACTGAATTACCATTTAAGGTCAGTATTTCAATACACGGTAAATTTCTGTCCCTGTACCAATGAACACGTCTCAGCCTTTTAGTTAGGTAGTTTTATTTGCTGTAACCCATAATAATATTAGTAATAATAAGTGGATGGTGCTTCGAGTACAATTTACTGTTCATGACCAAATCAGTATATCATGTTATTATGAGGAGTAAAGTGTAATAGAAACGCCTCTGGTTATTAACGCTGCCTTTCTGTGTTACATCTGGTATAAACTTATCTAATGTAGAATTACTTTCTCCCATAGTGCCCGATTTCATCTATTATATTATCTAAGCTAACCGCTTTTCATCCTTATTCCAGTCAGATGACTTGATAATTTAACAGTTTTCGCGTCTAATCTGCTTATGGGAAAATAAACTCATTTAGCACTTAGCACATTTAATGGACATTATACTTTGCATAGGAGTTTGGCATTAGATCCACAGTCCAGTTCACTTGGAAGAACATTTTAAAAAAATTATGTATTAAAACAGAATTTAATCAAGGAAAATCAGATGAAGGGGTGTGAGTTTAATGTGCCACTTCAGTGAAAAACTTTATTTTTTTGGACAAGGCATTTTTTAACTATTTTCCCTCTTGCAGTTAACCACGTTAAGTAGAGTTTTATGTAGTGCTGTAACAGTTTTTTTACGTTCTTTTTGTGATCTATTACGGTGGTATTAGACGCAGTCATGAGGTATGAGGTGTTTCAAACTTTGGTGATTTTCAGTTAAAATTAGTCGAGATTTTAATCTTCTTCTAATTAACGCTCAGCAATTTTTAGTCCATCAAGTACCTAGACTTGATAGTCAGTATGTTCTAATATCGATCCAATTACTGAAATAATGCTTACTGAAATTTCATTTGAAAGGTGTAGCCTCCGATTCAAGGTGAGGTTAACACTTCATAAGTCGTACTTCTATAAGCACAGTTTAATTACCTCTACAGCCTTTGAAGATTCAATAGAGGCGGTGTTGTTCTTTTTGCACTCAGACTTCCCTCTTTTCCATGCTTACTATTAGCTAGAAATCTAGGTGGGATTTAAGAATGAGTCACCTGTCAATCGAACCCTGGGCCACAAGCGTTGTTGACAAGCATTCTACCATTGAACCATTGACGACACGTAGTTATCAGTCATC